TGTGTTTAAGAATAGGGTGGATGATCTACTGAGGGATATGGTTTAATGGGGATTAGGGATGGTTGGACTGGATGATCTCTGAGGTCTTTTCCAACCTAGAAATCTATGAATCTATGGGGAACTGAAAATTGTTAGGATGATATGTGGAAGCAGTGAGGTTACAAACACATTTTGCAGAGTTGAAGCTATTTTTGATTGTGTAAGAGGAAAAATATTCATGGAATACCATTATAATCTTATATATCAGCAATATCCTCTAAAGCAAAATTAAACTTTGTGCTTCTCTATTCTGTTATGGTAGGATACATCCACTGAGAGCCAAAGCATCAGCTCCATTAATGTCCTGGGATTGTCTGTATTGTTTCATTGCTAGCCAGCTCCTCGGTGCAGGTTTTGTCTCTATGACTAGTTCTTATCCCAAGCAATGCCCAGATACACTTCTTGGAGTTAGTGTAAGCTGGGAGGTGTTTCTGGTAGGCACTGTTGATAACACTGTTCTGGAGCAGGGTGTGAGAAAAGGAGAAAAAAATCTTCCCCATCGAGGTGAAATGCTCTGTGCCACTTGCCTCTGGGGCTGGAGGATGCTTCTGGCTCAGGTTGTTTACAAGAACGAAGCCCCACCATCTGCACTGTGTGGTAGCACATTGCGACATCTGCTATATGTGTAAATGTACCTGGGGAGGTATTTCCCTCCTCTGCAATAAGCAGCAGTTCCTAGCCCAGTTTCTATAGGCATGACAGTGATTACTGCAGTGTACTGCTGTTGGTTCCCTGCAAAAGGCTGTTGAGAATTAGCACTTCTTTCCCTGCGTTGACCGAATGGAAACTTGATGTCCCAATTCAGTTCAGACTCCAAAGTAGCACCGAGTGAGTATCTGGCGGTGTGCTCTAAGCTTTGTTTCTTCTGAGGGCTGACTTCTTGATGCAGGAGTGGGTAGCCTCTCCTGCCTCTTGCTTACTAAAGTAATCTCCTTGTCTCTTTCTGTGTTTTTTATCTTTTTAATGATCTCCGTTAGACCATCACCGAATCTATATGGAGTCCTATGCCTGTAGGAAATGTGAAAATCTTATTTTCCCTTGAGCTTTTGGTTTCCTGTATAAACTTGTCCCATTTAGATGCTAGTTTATGCAAAGGACAAATCTGTCCTTAATTTCATGGTTCTTATCTTTTTTTTTTATATCTGATCCTTGATGTTTATATTTCCGTTGATCAGTTTTGACTGCTGGTATGCATCTGTATATTAGAGGAGAGGATAAAATTCTTCCAATGGAGTATCTTCTTTGGTGCTATCTTTTGTCATGTTGTTTAAGCAGTTGTCATGACAAATTCAGATAGTACTCTGTCATCTCCAGTTCTCTCTAACTACTTTTAATTCACAGCACTTGATAATATGTGGCTGGACGGCTGGGAATATGGGGTGGGGTTGCGACTTGAAGCTGTGATAACAGTATTTAATATAGAGTTGATCCAACCTCTCCAGGTGGAGTTGGTGAATATTGGAGGAACTGACATCGTTGATGGAAATCACAAGCTGACGCTGGGGCTGCTGTGGAGCATTATCTTGCACTGGCAGGTGAGAGGCTGCTGCGAGATCTCTTCCTTTCCAGGAATTGTATGCATCAATCTGCTGGGATTCTCACAAACCTTCCCAGGGTTTTGGTGGTGGAAAATACTACTTCTATTTTGGGCTGGTAAATAAAGGCAGGCCAGTGTTTGGTTTCTGATCTCCGTCTATTGGCTGCCTCCTGCAACACGTACTCTCGTATGTAGTCAGTTGTGCGCAGTCTCTCTGTTTAGTTCCTGCTGGTGTTAATTGCAGAGAGGCTTTTCAGGCCGAAGCACTGTATTTGTATTCCTTCCTAAAGGCTTTTACATCCTTCTTTTAGCAGGTGTGTTTACTACCTAAGTGGGTTTGTTGGGCTTGCATCTTACATGCTGCTCTGTAGGTTCGTTTCTCAGTCTCATAGATTGAATTGTTCCTGGTTTGTCCAGGTACCTGGGAAGATCTTTGGATTCACTTGGAGGGACTTTGGCAGATGCTGATGTATAGTACCCAAACAGCAAACTACTTTTGTTGGCTGAGCAGATATCCTTCTCTTGCAGAAAACCTGCGCAAGCTGTGTTTTTTGGGGTTTGCACAAGGCAGTGAGAAATATTATACTGTACGCTTAGTGTAGGCAGCACTGAGGAGAGGGAGAGAATCATAATGTGAGTAACGTGTCATTATTACATGAAGCATTACTGGATCTTGTAATCAGTAGGGTGCAAAGACGGTCTGAAGACTCCTGTTCCCAAATTTCATGTGAGGAGTTGGAGTTGGATTCATAGCTTTTCATGGGAAAGACCCTTTCACGTTTTGTGAAATAACTTGATTCGAAGGTTTTGTAAGCAGGAAAAATGGAGAACATGTCTGTAAGGTGTGTTGCGGCTGTCTTGTAGGTGAAGGATGTCATGAAGAACATCATGTCAGATTTGCAGCAGACCAACAGTGAGAAGATCCTGCTGAGCTGGGTTCGGCAGTCCACAAGACCTTACAGTCAGGTCAATGTTCTGAACTTCACCACAAGCTGGGCAGATGGACTCGCCTTTAATGCTGTCATCCACAGACACAAGTAAGTAGCAAACAGCATATCTTAGACCTAGTGAAGTCAGCAGCTTTTTTCTTCATTCTTGAGCATTTGACAACTTCTAGCCTGTTTTGGTGATTCATTGTTCGTGTTGGTTTTTTTTCGGTTTGTTTTGTTATGGTAACAATAGCAGTGGAAGGATATTGCCAGAGCCTTGCAAAGGATAAATCCAAGGCAGCAGTGTAACTCTCTCAGTTCCTGCACATGGACCCACACTTGCTAATTGAATTGGATTTACATCCCACTCAGTGTGCATTATACAGTGAATATGCTGAAAGGGTCTCTGCAGGGGAGACTGACCACCTCCTTCCCCTGTACTTCCTTCCTCCTGCCCTCCCTCCTCTGCAAAGGAAAAACATTTCTTCAGTTGGAGTTTGCCATATCATTTTCGTAGGAAGATACAGAAGCTTCAGAACAAAGGAATAAGAGAAACAGGCTCTGTAGCTTTTGTTAGTTTTTGAATGTGTGTTGCTTGAAAGACAATGTATGCAGTTCTTTCAGGCGAACTGTTGAGCAGAAGAATCAAAGGGTAGTAGAATACTTCAGGTATCTGTAGTGTATTCATTAGTCGGTTCATTATACTTTATAAGGAATGCTCTTAAAGCTTCTTTGCACAGATCTTTCATGTTCTTTCTGATTTTTGGAGAACTCTTTGGTAGTCTAAAGAAATCAACACTACAGACTCCTATGAAACTTACATACCGGTTCATTCTGCTTTTCTAAATTTTCTTTGAGATCTGCTTCTGGGCAATCGATTCTAATCCAGTGTACTTTAAATGAAGTCAGCTCATTGCTTTGCAAGGTCTGACTGTTCTTAACCATAAATAACTGTTTAACATGGTAACAATATGATAATATCTAGAATTTAACCAGACCTCCTGCCCACCAGGTATCTGTCATGGCAAATGCTTTACAAACACTCAGAATATTTATACCCAGCAGATACAAAATGTGAACAAAAGCATATGTTCACTTTGAGCCTGCTGTTCTCTGCTCTGAAGTGCCCGTTTGGCCTGTGCTGACTGAAATGGCAGGCTCTGTCACAGGCTCCTTGACTTCAGGACGAGTCTGCCCCTACACACCTATGTGCCTTGTAGATGAAAGCCAGCTTGTATTCAACCTGTACGGATGCATGGGGAGCACCTGCACCACACTGAGGGCTCCTGGAAGTTTGGAAGGACTGTTCTGCAAAGGCAGAGCAATACCAGCAAAGGTTTCTCTGGAGTTTATCGGAAGTATTACCGAGTCCCTTCTCTGCATGGTGCGAGCTGTACTGGTGGTTTTCATACTGGCGTAATTGCCTGTAGTGGTGTAGCTCTGCTGCTGAACGGGTGAAGCTTTGTGGTGGAGAGAGTGCCAGCTGTAGACACGAGTGAGACCTAGGTGATGTGAGGGAGACAGAAGAAGAGGGAGCAAAATAGGCTTCAGGCCGTTTGTTGTCCTTATGTGTTGTGACTGTGTGCTTGAGCTTTGCAGGATCTGAAGTCTGTGAGCTCTGTCCTTTTCAGAGCCCTGTGAAGTAACAAAAGCCCCTGCTGAAAACTTTACCTGAGTAACTATGCTTTCCTCCGGCTTCCTAAAATTTCTCAGTTATGTCTCAGCTGATCTCTGAGCCTTTTATTCCCTCTTCCTAGGAGCCTGGCAGCTGCCAAAGGGTCAGAATTCAGCTTTGCTGTCCCTGGGCACCAGTCCTTTAACCAGGGAAGTAGCATTTTCCCCACACTTCTGAGAAATCTTGAGCTGAGTTTAAATTTAGGTCAGCTTTAAAAGGCAACTTGCAAGGAACAAGGGGATTGGAGTTGGAGCAGGTTGGAGAAGTGGTAGAATGATTAAGGTATTTAGCTTCCCCAGACAGTAGTGCTTCCCTGCCTAAGGGGCATCTTCAATATTGCTTTTTTAATTTAGCTTAATATGACACTTAATATAGGAGAATTTTTGTGGATCCCATTAAAAGGTTTAGTAGCTCGCTTTTCTCTTTATGTATCTATCAACAATTGTTAGCTGTGCTACCTCTCGGCTATAATATCTACTAACTTTGTAACGCAGTGCTTAATAAAATTATATGAGGTGATAGGACATTTAACGTTTTAGTCTGCTGGTCTCTTTCATTTCCTAATATTAGCTTAGTTCCCCTTTGAATTGAATTCTGCTCCTTGGTACAATTTTCTCGCTCATAGGCAAATACCTAGATTGCATTTTATTTAAACTTAGTGTTGTTGTGGCAATGTGCAGATAGTGTATATACAATATACTTATTGCAATGTGTTTTCAAAAGTAAGAGTCTCTGCTAAAGCTGTAAGTGAATCTGTGGTTATCCTTGTTGCTTCTTGCATGGAGGTACAGCATTCCGCTGGCTTCTATCAGGATCTTTGCATATCTCTTTTCCCCGCTCACCCACCTTCCTCTAGCTTTTTGCTTCTCAGACCCTGCTGGCTTATGGCCTTCCTGTTTCACAAAGTGTAATGACTGGATATACATTAAAAGGATACTCTCAGGTCAATTTACAACTGAATTAAGTATTAAAAGAATAAAGACAAGCCAATCTCTTCCTCCCTGAGTTCTATAAAGCACAGAATCAATAGCAGTGTCTTAATGAGAAATCACTATTACAGGGGAATGGGAAGTATTTTAACGGCTTTGTAGTCTTATAGCTGTGCTGCTGCAGGGCTGGCCTGGTCATGCTCTTTTTCGGGTGCGTACCACTGGGAGGGGGCTCTGTTTGCTGACCCCGCTTCCTGCTCCGTGCTCTGCCGTTTTCACGTGAGACCGGCCGCTGTGTTTCGGGTGCACAGCTGGGCTGGAGATTTGGTTTGGTTAACACTAATGTGCGATGAAGGCTACTGGCATGATAAATCGATCAGCTCCTTGGCATCGTGGATCTCATGAGCACTTGTGATGGGGTTTTTGGTAGGTTTTTTTTTTTTTAAAGTGGGGTGGTGGTGAGAGGCCATGGGGCAGGCTGAGGGGGGAGACCACTGCTGCTCCTGGCTGTGACGGTCTGGAGTGGTCACTGAGTTTGGAATGAGACTCCCCAGGCTTGGAGTGACATTGATTACCCAGCAGAGCCTGCAGCAGAAAGCATGTAGTAACAGTAATGCTGTGAAAGCAACAGTTGAAAAGCGGTTCTGCAATAAATATTAAACAGTTTATTTATTTTCTCGTTAGTAGTATTTGATCTTCTGTTGCAGTTAATGAGTATACGTATAGAATACATAGAATGGAAGGTGTATATTGCTGTGGATGTGCAGTCAGTTAATTGATTTGGTTGCCAGATTCTCACTAATAAAAAGTACAAGTGTTTGTATTTATGCATTTGTGTACACGCACTTATGTTTGTTTTGTGTGTATGTTTATATTACTTAGGTAGCTACCTTCATATCTGTAACTTTATATTCTACATGGTATGGAATTTTTCCTTCAGATAAAATTTACTGCTTTCTTTCCTGTTTTGTCATTACTTTTAGACCCGAGCTTTTTAGCTGGGATAAAGTTATAAAGATGTCCCCAGTTGAGAGACTGGAACATGCTTTCAGCATAGCCAAGAACCACTTGGGAATTGAGAAACTGTTGGATCCTGAAGGTGGGATATAGTTATTTTACTTGGCTAGAAGCTTTTTTGGGCTCCTTTGAAAGAAATTTCTTCTATTAACATTTACTATGAATAAAAATTCCAGCAGTTTTGTGCAGTGATATTTTATTTCAAGCCCTTAAATTTGGGTTTAAAAGAATGTAATGTGTAGAGTAAGGATACATATCTGTGTGTGTATGCTTCAGCTTCTTGAATGTTAAGGTTCAGATTGACTTGCCATTCAGAGACCTTGTACAGAAGGTGAAGTTGGTACCCTGGCTTTGTTTTATTTTGGGTGAGAGTCCCACCTAAAGGATCTGTGATTTACAAATGAAATAGAGCATTATGTAGAAAGGGATAGCTTAAGAGCTCATGATCTTTTCTTCTTTTCTTGCCCCTTCCCTGGAGGTGTTCAAGGCCAGGTTGGACGGAGCCTTGAGTAGCCTGGTCTAGTTGAGAGGCGTCCCTGCCCATGACAGGGAGGTTGGATTAGATGATCTCTAAGGTCCCTTCCAGCCCATGCCATTCTATGATTCTTCATATAGACATTGAGTAGCAGTGGCTGCCAGTGCTGTGAGTACTTATCATGTAGGAATGTTTACCAGGAAACTTTTATGGCCCCTTTTTGAAATCCTGAGCTGTTGCTTTGAAATGAGTCTCCAAAGATTCATTCTGTAAGACAAGCTCTCAAGCTTTATAGATTCAAGCACCACCTTCTTAAAAAAGATAAAACAACAACAAAAAACCCGGAACAAAACAAAAAAACCCAACCCTAAAAAAACCCACAGAAAAAAATATTAACTGAATGAGTAGCTCTCATAATCTGAGATTTATATGAACCTGAGTCAGTGAAACTCTCTTCCATTTGAAAAGTAAGAAAATGAACTGATGGATGCCGTGAGCGGGGATAGAGCCTAAGTGGAAGTGTCTGTTTATGCAGGATACTGTCACTGAACTGCACTTCTGCCTGGGAGATACTCCAGAATAATTTTCCCCAAAGAGTTTTTATTTCTGAGTAACTCCAGGTTTGAGCTCTTACTTCAAAAAGATCATACCTTTTAATGTGACTTCACTTCCAAATGTAGCAAACTTATTATTTTTAATTTTTTCTCCTTCATACTGCTTTCAACGTGTCAAACCTGGCCTTTTAGCTTAAAGCTTACTAAACGCTACTTAGCAGAAGAACCTGGGATTTACACTGTATATGAAGTCTTAACTGTATTCTAACTAATGATTTAGTAAAGCAGCTTCTTAATTTATTTTCCCCCATTTTTTATCTTTTTGATGCAGATGTTGCTGTACAGCTTCCAGACAAAAAGTCTATTATTATGTATTTAACCTCTTTGTTTGAGGTCCTTCCTAAGCAAGTCACCATGGAAGACAT